TCCTTCAGGACTTTGTATATATTCAAACTCTTGAAGGACAAAAGGAATAAAATATATAAATTTATAGAATAAAATTAATGTATATTAAATTAGGGTTAAATATACATTTAGGGTAACCATAGAAATTTTATTCTACAAGCATAATCAATTTATTAAAACTTGTAGAAAAGAAATTACCACACTATGTCAAGAGTGTGGCACTTTCTACTAGTAATATTCTATTTAAGGAGACACATGATGTAATTGGCTATAAACATGCATCGTGATGTCATGGGACATAGAATATACATTATTTGAAATACCTTGAATTATTCTCTACCATGGTACACTAAAAGAGAGATTCTAGAATATTCTAAGGAGGGCCTCAAGGGGACCTCTAGAATATTTAAGGAGGCCTTCTCCTGCCTAGGATTGGTTCCTCAGCATATTCACCCCCAACAAACTAAGTGAGTACAGTGAATATTATCCACCTACTTTTAGAGTAGTCTTTTTATCCAATCCAACCCTACCTTCTTACTGGAATTATTATTAAGCTGAGAGTTATCCCAGACTCAAAACTTAAATAATTCCTTAAAAAGTAGTTGCTGCAAGACCACCACCTCTGACTGTAGCCTTTCAGCTCAGGTGCTTGCCAGCTACTTCTTGCAATATTAATTATTGCTTCCAAACACTCTACAATAACTTATTCTGTTATTGTCTCCTACAGTGCTCTCTTGATTATTCAAGTGACTTTAACTGAGGAGTGTGGACTTTATAACCTCTTAAGTGGGAAGTTTGGACCACTTAATACTTTTGAGGGTGACTAGGAGTGATCTTGGTCTTTAACCTGAGTCCTTCAGCACAGTGATAGTACTTGGCTCTTATATTACTAAGCCAAAGTTTCATACACATAGCTGACACTCTACGTCAAGCTCAACAAAGATGCGTACGCAGAAATCGTCCAACAGCTCAATCAAGAAATCCTCGCGTATGTCAGTTCCACCCTACCCAAGGCCGATGAATTCAACGGGTACAAACTCTGGCAACTCCTCAAGCAAAATTACGCCGGCAACAATCTAACCTCCAGAACCACTGCCCTCAAGAAATACCTTGCTATAGAATACGACTCGTTCTCGTCGTTTCTCCCTCTTGTTCGATCGGCCAATCAGAAAATCGTACTTTCAAAACTCGCTCTTGACGATCAGGTCAAGACTATACTGATGCTTGATAAATTGCCTCAAGAATTCCACTCGTTTAAAACCAACATCTCAATGAACTTCGAGACCAAACTGTTTGATCAGGTATTAAAGAAACTTGAAGATTTTGCCGCTCAAAATCAACTAAACAAAATCAGGAAATCTCTGGTGTCGTTGATCTTGTCTCAAGCCACTATGTTTACTCAATCGTCTAACCCCAAGATCACTTGTTCTCATTGCAAACGAGGATTCCGAGCCTGTTCGCATTGCTTCAAGAGCAGCCACACCAAAGCCAATTGTTTTCAAAAGCACCCCGACAAACGCAAACTCAATCCGGTCGCTTCCTCGGCCAAACAACAGTCAACAAACCTCACTGACTACACTCAAGAAGATGAAGAATACCTACAGCAAAAATATCCAGACCTCCATCTCTAACTGTTTGATCTCTTGCTCAGGAGGGGTGTTGAATTTTTCGCTCTTTGATCTCACTCTCTCTTCCTTTCTTCCTCTCTGTCACCTGTCACTCGTTTATCACCGACTGTTCTCTTATTCAATATGCATAAGTTTCTGATCCCACAACTTGTGCACTTTTGTATTTAGACTACTTAAGACCCTAGATATTGAGGAATAACAAATCATTGGTTCTTTATTATTTTTTTGACCGTTCCTGAAAGGAGCACATGAGCCCTTCCTTCAGTCTGTATAAGAGCACTTGAGCCCTCTCAGCAAATCATAAAAGATATTATTTTCTTGGCCTTTCCGCCAAAAATTCAACAGAGCCTTAATCCTGGCTGCCTATTCCAATGGTTACTTACAGAGTGGGACACACCTCCATCAATATCCTCAAAGTGACAAGCCCATGTGAGGGAATCGAAATTGGTTTGATAAGACCAACAATACTTGATTTTACCCTCCTCAATCAAAATATTGGCACCAATCAATTAAAACAAAATGCAGTTGTAGATTCTTGAGGATCTGACGAGAATTTTCACTAGGGCCAAAGGTTGCAAGTGGAAACAAGAGAAAAAGAAAAGACTCAAAGAAATGCTCAGAGTTTGGAAAAGAAAATTTTCAAGCAGCTCTGTTTGAGGAACATCACAAGTTCCTCAGGATGGACCTGTGTCTTCTTGCTTGTGAGGTGAAAATGTGGATTCACTACAAGCAACAGTGCAGCCAACAATTTACATGAATTTGTATTGGCCAGTATTGTATTGAAATAAATTCTCATTACCTGTGTTATTCTTGTAGCTCTTTGACTGATATGGTACACAGATTTCAAATTGTGGAGCAAGACTTAGACAGCCAACACAGCAGACTGCACGATTCTTGGCATGGTATCATACATGATTTCTTGAATCAGTGATTCCAATTATACAACAAAAAACAGGCTGAAAAACCAGTGTATTGGACCATCCAATACTACACAACATATACAATTCTGGGGAATGAGTTGTGGGACAGAACGAGGAAATTCACATGTTCAACTTTGAAAAAAAAAGAGAGAGAGAGAAAATGAGCCAGTGGATGAGATTTGGATGGGATCATACCCATCAGATCTTTGTATTATAAGATCATCAAACAAGGTTATCAGGTTGTTTGTTTGCTTGGTTCAAATTGAAAATAGAAGATTTAATAGAGTGGTTAAAGTTGAGTCTGAAGGGGATGCAGACCGCTGGAATTTCCCGTGATTTCTCCTGCAAACCATTGGATGTCTGACTGTTGTTCTTCTCCAGCCGCTCCCTCTCTTCTTCTCCCCAGCTCCTCTCCTCTCAGCCACCCCTTACTATCAGAATCATCTCAATAATAACAATTATCACATCCATCTGCATTAGGAGAAACACATAGTTCCAAAAACAAAACCTGTCATTCAAAGGAGTGGGGAGGATGGGATGGGATGGGTTGGCCGTCCTTATAGTTCTGAAACAGGGCCGGTCAGTCTGAAACTAAATCTTGCCCCACAGAGTCGCACATGGAGCAGGGTTGTTCAAGTCCTGCATAAAATGCATGGGTTGACCCATGAGTTGGCTAACAAGTTTTGCACGCCAGAGGACCCTATTTTTATTTATTTATATGGAAACACTAAAAGTAATCGATTAGTAAAAGAATTGCAGACTATGATTGTCAGGTCCATGGGCCAACTCCATGACCTGGGCTGTATGATGTATCCTTTGCCAACTCAACCCAACTTTGATCGATGGGGCCGGCTGGAATATGTTGATAAACTTGACTCCCCCCTCCAATTAGTTATCAATGCGGCAGGGAAGGTTCAAGAATTTCCTGACCATTCAAAGTAAGATTGGTACTGAATGTGAAATTGTGAATGTGCATGCAGCTTCCAATATTATTGGCATCATGGTCAGCCTTGATTGGATTGCTTCCCAAGCTCTCCAAAACTATTATTGGCATCATGGTCAGCCTAGATTGGGTTGCTTCCCAAGCTCTCCAAAACTTGGGGGCAAAGACTAGTCTAACATATTATGTAAAATGATAAACTTGACAATGAAGACTTATATTTTCTTTATATATATATATATGTATATATTTATAAGTGTGTGTAAGATGACATAAGATAACAAAAGATAACAAAACCTACAACCAAACGTATGAGTAAAGCATTCTTATATATATATGTATGCATAGTAAACTCATCTTCAAAGAAAAAAAGAAGGAATGAAAGACAAAGATAAGAGAAGCAGAAAGAAGAAGCAGTATACAATAAACCCACCGTCGACCCGCTCGCCACAACACAACACAACACAACATGGCTGAGAGGGCGAGAGAGAGAGGATGGCCATTCCCCTGAGCAACGAAAATAGAATGGCAATCTAACATCAGAAACGAGTAAAATAAATAAAAAAAATGAATGGGAGAAAAAGAAGTACACTATTCTGGAACAACAAAGCATAATGAAAGATAGGGTGCGAGAGCGGAGGGGGCAAAAGAAACACAACAAAGAAAAAAAAAAGAAGACAATAAAAAACAGTTGAGATAAAAACAAAAGAGTTGAATTATTTAGATTGTATTGTATTATATATATATATATATATAACATATATATGTGTGTGTATTTATTTGTTTATGTATTCATGATTGAGTAGGGTTGAGTAAAGCTGATTCAGTTTGATTGGAGTTGAAAGTTGAGTGGAGTTGAATGGAGTGGAGTTGACTTCAACTGATGGAGTCAAATGACAGTCAGCAGAGTCGAGTTCGATTGAGTTGAGTTGAGTTCGGTTGAGTAAGGGCAAGTGAAGAGAGACAGAGGAAGAGAAGAGAGAGAGCGAGAGAGAGAGGAGAAAAGAGAAGATGGACTCGGCCAAAGAAGGAAGCGAAAGAACCACGAAGAAAATCGGAGAAGCGAAAGGAAAGAAAGAGGAAGAGAGTAAGTTGAAATGGGAGGGAAGGGTGAGAAGGAGAGCGAGACTAAAAGAAAGAGTCCATAGAAGGAAGAGTCGGAGTGAGAGTGGGAGGAGGAGTACTAGCATCAAGAGGGAGCATAAGCTCAGACGCAGATGATCCAGACGCAGAAGTAGTAGAAGCAGAAGTAGTGGAAGAAGAAGAAGAGGAGGAGATGGAGTTAAGAAGAGGCAAATGAGAGGGCGAGGGTGAAAGATGATGATGAGAAGAGGATTGGTCTTGATGATCAAGGACGACGAGTTGTCTTTGATTATAATCCTTAACCGAAGAAGGGGCAGTCGAGCGATGATTATCGACCGTCCAATTCATCTTCTTATTGTTCTGATTGTCTTCTTGACCAATCGACTGAGATTGAGAAGATGAGAGGGGATGGTTATCGGTCATCAGGCCATCCATCTTACTCCGATCCCTATTCGCAGTCGTTGTCGTCGTACTACTACTCGACCCACTCGTCGTGTTCGTAGGACTTGCCGTGTTTGTGTTTGTCGGACTGGTCGTGCTCGTAGGACTCGTCATATTCTTCCCGAGCGGTGTCAACGTCGGAGTCAGATTATTCCCATTATTCGGAGTAATCATCGGATTATTCGAATTATTATCGTTAGTCGAAATATTCAATTCCTACCAAAATATAAAGAATCATTTATATTTTAGCTTTTGATTCCAGAAAGAATGGAATCACAGGATCAAAAGGAGAAGAAGAAGAAGAAGAGGAGGAGGAGTATATATAAGAGGAGAAAGTGTACGGAACTTTTAATAAGTAAGTTAATAAAACTTCATGAAGGAAGACGTATTGCCGATAATTTGCAACCATAGACATCCTCTGTTCCCTATATAAGAACAAGATTTCAGTGAAAAGGAAAAGAAAGTGAAAATCCACACCAATCCAACCTGCCGAAAAACTTCTTCAAGAAAATCGAGTCGAGAGAGAGAGAGAGAGAGAGAGAAGACGAACCTCATTTCATTAACAACAGCCATGATAGGATAAGTCTGCCAAATAGGGGCGGTCACAGTCCTGCAATCACAAAGTTGACTATCCAAGAATCTAGGTAAGGAAAGATGAAGATTAGAAGAATGAGAGTGTTGTCGTTGAAGAGCAGGCGCAGGAGTTGGAGTTGGATCAAGTCTGGGTTCTGAGAAAGAAGAAGAAGATGTAGATTGATGTTCCGGATCGGGAGTTCTGATCGGAGAATGAGATGGAGGCGGGGGAGGGGTGTTAGACTGAAGCGTAGGGTTCTGGTGAGGATGATGATTGGAGAGGTAGAGAGCCTTCAAGACGTCGATCATCACATCCAAGAGGATAAAACTACCGGTCCTACCCACTCCAGCCGAACAATGAACGATCACCGGTCCTTTGCCCAATCCGATGGCTTGTCGGATCTGTTCAGAGATCATCCTCTGAATTTGAGGAATGACTGATAAACTCGTCAATGGCTTGAGCGTTGAGGCGTTGGATCTCTTGGGATGCCCTCTGAGACTCGCATCAGTCGAGCACTCTCGGCGCAGAGGACGTCGAGTCGCCAGCCTCTGTACTGATGTGAGCGATCTGTCGGCAGGAGTCTGGCGAGTGTCCTACTGAGTCGGACGGTCTTACGAAGCACACCGGCCTTGGCTGGCCGATCGGCTGGTTGGGGACGGGGGTCGAGGGATGCTTCCTTGATATGATCGTCGTGGTTGCCCGAGACGGGGCCGGATGAGAAGCCGAAGAAGCCGCTGGCCATCTCTCGCTCCTCGTCTCCATCCGACTCGATCCCACCCGACCCACCATCACGCGAGTGGCGGTGGTCGACGGAGACCACCAGGTCGCCGTACTGTCCATTGCGTAAATAATCCGCACACTTCTCCCGTCCGGCCTCGTGGCGCCTGGTGATCATGATAATCAAACCCACATCCTCTGCGCCTACCACCGACCAGAAGTCTTCGAAGGTCGACGTCAAGGGCCCTTGCGTTGCTATGTATCGTCGAGTCCCGACATGGGTCGAGCCGATCGACGCAGGCGCTCCATCCGATCGAAAACTTATCATCGATGCATTCATGTAATCTGTCTCGTTCCTTCGCCCCTGTCCTGGCCTTAATCGGATCCTAGTATGTTCATAAGGCCATATGTTTTTGTATCTATGCATCATCATCATCAACAGTCAGGTATGTTTTTCAAAAAAAAAAAAAAGGAAAATCGTTCTTTTTTTTTCAGAGCTTTGTGAAACATACCTATTCTTATAGCCTAATTCAACGCCGGCACTGATACTAAATGGATGATGATGTCGATTGGCCGCAATGGAACCTTCGATAGTCTTATTTTGACTCGGTTGAGTGAGGTGAGAGGTTTGAGATAGATGAGGGGTGGAGATGGCAGGGGAAGAGGAGGGAGGGCGAGAAGAGGAGGTGAGGGAGCGATTGGATTCCCAACGCATGACGTCTTCGAGACGAAGTTGCTCGGCCATTTCGAGATCGTGGAATTCATGAGCCAGTCTCCTTGCGCGTTCGATAGGAGAGTCTTGGATGAGACGACGGAGGAAGGCTGGGAGACGAGGGAGGTCGCGGGTAGGGTGGGTGAGCTCGGGAAGTTCGATCGGAGAGAGGTTTTGGAGTGAGGAGGAGAGTGAGAGACGCTCGTTGAGTTGTCGGATGTTGTCGAAGAAGGGGTTTAAGGCCGATGTGCTGTTGGGTTTGGGTGGTAGTTGCTTAGACTGGTTGGAGTCACTCGAGTTCGTCAAATTAGGATAGCGAGGGCCCGAGCCGAGTGTTGAGTTACGTGAGGAGGGAGATTCTGGGCAGGGGCTGGAGGTAGGCGGGAGCATGCTGAGACTCATGTGAACTCGTTTGGTCTTTGAGTAGCTAGTGGGCTGAGGACGATCGTTGGTAGGACGAGTGGTAGGGGTGTGAGGTGCTTGATGATGATTGGTCTGTACTGGGGGTGTTGGGAGTGAGGCTGAGAGTGGTAGTGGGATTGAGAGAGACATCCTTAATTCGTTTGGGGTGGTTGTACTACTACCGTTGTCTTGATCTGGGATGTTTGTAGTGGATTGAGTGGATTCTTGAGAGTTTAAGAGTTTCTTGGACCAATCCGATCGTTCGGCTAGGCTCAATAGTCCTTGAAATCCACCGTTTAGCCAGACCAGTTTCCCAGTGAATCCGAGTGAGTTGAATTTCTTGAGGAGGAGGCTTAGTGGATGGTTTGGGTTGACGAGACGGGCATCCTGATCGATGGCGATGATTAGTTGTAATCTTTTATTTGATTCGATGGTTGAGTTGGGTAGTGCAGTCTTATATCTCTCGAATCGTTGACGTTCTTCTGGTGTTGGTAAGCCGGATTCAATCCTGGAGAGTACATAAAATATATTAAATCAGTCACAGCTATGTTTTTTTTTTTTTTTGGTTGACTGACTTGTCTGGTCCGTAGAGTGGTCGTTTGAGTAGGGTTGTGGGTAGGTTGAGGTTGATGGATTGTTTGAGATGGTGTCGTTTGAATGCTGATGGTGTTCTGATGTCTAGGATTAGATGGTTTTGTTCTGGTTGGTTGTTGATGGTCTGAATGAGTTGGGTTGGATTGATGGAGGGGAAGTTGCTGTTGTTGTTGGTTGTTGTTGGTGTGGTGGTGGTGGTGGTGGTGGTGGTGATGCTGGTGCTTGTGTTAGTTGTTGTTGGTTTGAACATGGTTGTTTGTTGGTTTGCTTGAGTTTGTTGGGCTGCTGTTGTTGTTGTTGATGGTGGTTTTTTTTTTTTTTTTTTCTGATGGGGTTTGTTTTTTTTATGATTTCATACAAACTTGGCTTATCAATCAATCCGGGGGGACTAAAATGATCACATAAGCAAGAGAAAGTATGTATTCAACCCCACACACTCCACACTCACACACTTCAAACTGTACACTACAGAGCCACACTTGACACTCTTATAAGCACATCTCCTATGTAGTTCAGCTCTCAGCACTCACAAAATTGTGTGTACAAGTTTGTTCAACTACATACTGGATTATAAAAATACCAGATGATTTTGTAGCTTATCAATGCACCATTGAGATCCAGAACAAAAACCATGCTGGTTCATCAAAGAGAGAAGAAGAACCCACCCCATGATTCAACAACTAATCAGAATGAAATCTCAATAACAACATAGCTTAACCATGCATCAGGATCAGTTTAGCCGGATTCAGGATTCCCATAAGAATAACAAAACACTTTGTAATGGCTCAAGAATCGTACAACTACTTTGGATCTTAAATAATCACTATCTCCCTTTCAATTCTCAATATTGCTCATCTACTTCTCATCATCATGTATACCAAAAATAACCCATTTTGTTCCAGGTGGCTAGAGGACCCTCATGAAGTATTTACCCTGTAACCGTCAATCAGCTCATCTTCAGCCTGTTATACCAGAGTAGGAATCTTGTGATGACTTTGCTCTGAAATCTCAGGAGGATTATACTGTGCTCACTAAAACAACCAGCGTATACATCGAGTGATAAGTTTATAATTGGTCAATAGAAGCAAGAGCTAGTAGCCAAAACATCTTCATGTATGTATGAACTTGAAGGAGAGATACATCCAGCGGATAATTAAGCTACATCTTCGGTTGCTAAGCTTGTTGGTTTCCCGTACAATTTGTTTCACTGGATGTGAAAAAACAAAGATACATCATGAACGAGCTTCATTCATTCACAAGTGTGGATCAAACATACAGAGGGAGAGAGAGCGAGAGAGCGGGAAAAGAAACATCGAACGTGATAGAGCAAGGTTAATGATGACGATGAGGATAGAAAATAAAAGAATCGATCAAGTGGATTTCGTGAAGACGTCGTTCAGAAGATCCTCCAAGACGATGGCTGGATTCACATCCAGCGTTTTTTTTTCTGAGAGAATATCGAGCCATGGGTGTTGAGCAAAAAGAAGAACAAAACTACTGTCTTTGGGAAGAATACTTCTATTCAAGATCGGTCGAACGAGAACACATATGTAAAAGTGAGTATAATAAGCAAACGAGAAGGAAGTTTAGGAAAGACGGGTGAAGAACTTGGGACAAACTTTTGACGAGGTTTGTTTGAGGGTTTTGATTTACTTCATCTTTATAGTTTCTCTTCTGGGGGCCGACCGATTCGACACCGCCGCCTTCCTTGGGAGCTTTATTGAATGCGAAGTAACCAGCCGCACAGATCACGCCACCGATGATGATAGCCAACGGGAAGACAGCCGGATCTCTGTCAAACGAAAACGAAAACAAAAAAAAAAAAAACAAGAAGATACATAAATATGTCAATATCATCGAATCTGACTTTTCCCCTGAAATGCTTGGGATCAATAAGCTTACTTTCGAACCGCTTTATTAAGATGGGAGGGATTCATCGGCGCAGTCTTACGACCAGTCCCACTCTGTGCAGTCGTATTGGGTTGCGCATCCACTTGATTGGCTCTGTAGAAACTTGGAAACATTCTCGAGGTAGGTTCCGGCTGGTCTTTGTTTCTTTGAGTTGCAAAGTCAAAAGAAGGATTGTTTTTCTTGGGGGATGGGTTGAGGTTGCTGATTTTTTTTTTTAAAAAAAAAAATAGTGATGTTTTCTGGGTAGTCCAGAGTGGCCAGGCGGATTGAGCCAACCAAGTCAGGTGTTGACCGGATAAGGAGTATTTTCTTGGACTGACGTCATCGATGAGCTATGACGTCACTCCTCTGATCAGAACCTGCTTTCGGTAATCACAATTCACAATTGCCGATACCTGCCGATACACATCATCGGCTTTCAACTCTTCAAAGAAAAAAAAAAGGTCAAACCCGGCCTCTCTGCAGGCCGAGCACAGACCAAATCTCCGAACTTGGCACGAGTCCCCCTGGCGGTAGGCTCGCTGGTGTAACGGGCTGGGTGTGGCACCTCTAGCTTAACACAAGCCCCACCTTGTGCGAGTAAAGTCAAATTTTTGGCCTGAGAGCTTTTGATGTTTTGGTGGGGAGAAAAGTACCCTACACTTCCCCCCCCCCCCCATCTTCGTCTCACACATGCGGCCTGTCTGTTGGATCATTAGAACTGGGCAGATCTTGCCTACCATCTGATAGAGGATGGGCCTCTCTTTCTATTTTGTCCATTAGGGACTCGCTGGGGCAGGGGAAAGGGTGGACTGCGGCCCGGCGGCCTTGCTGGAGCTCTCAAAGCCATTTGTCTTAGATGCTCACATGTTCGGTGCCCTCTCAGGGAGGGTGCCTAGGGAAGCCTGAAGACCAGGGAGTGGTCTTCCGGGCTTCCTGTGTGTGGGTCTCAAAAGGTTGAGACCCAGAGCCTGGTCTGTTTTCTCATATCTCTCTAGTGAGATCCAGCTCAGGGTGTAAATGGGTCGGGTCGATCCAAAGCCGACCCAAGACCCTACAGGTAATGGGTCGGGTTTGGGAAGACTTTGTGAGAAAATCACATGACCCAAACCCGACCCAGAAGCTTAGCGGGTCGGGTTCGGGCAGGTAAGTTTTTGTCATAGTTGCTCTACAAAGGCTAAAATACTCGGGTCGGCCCGAACCCAACATGCAAACTGCCGACCTGAACCCAAAAAGTCCCAAGACGGGTTCGGGTCTGGGCAGCCTATATTCAAGTTTGACCCAACCCGACCCAACCCAACATAAGTGTTGGGTCGGGTTTGGGCACTGTTTTTGGGCCCGAACCCGACCCGTTTACATCC